TCGCTCCAGATGCTTTACTAGGTGCGTTCTAACTATCTTTTCTAGTACCTTACATAGTACTACATAGTGCTACATAGTATCTGGAAGTCGTATTGCGGAGAAAATGTGTTTTATGAAGTTTAAAAAAGGTTCTTTTTGGCTGTAAGACAATCAGAGTGACCTGCTCAGCCAGAAACCAAGGACCTCATGATGTTCTACGTTATTCATGATCAAGGAAGGGTTGGCCTTGAAAGTGTACCTATGTGTGATGAGTTCGTCCATATTGTGCCCCATAAGAACACAGAACGGACTACCACATGGGGGCTTCATCGCAAATGATGTCTCTGTTTCGTCGGAGGAATATTGTTTTGTTATTGTGTTTGTCAGCTTGTTTTTATTTCTTGGTTTCAGTGATGTCTTCCTATGCAACTATCAGAGAACTTTCTCAGCCGCCGTACACCTTAGTTTATCCGAAGGAAAAAATGCCAAACAATAAATTGTCATCAATTCCAGAGACCGTCAGTAAAGGAGTAGCAGTAGAGGAGTCGGACATAAGGTTTTTACCAAGCTTTTTCGTCACGTCTGATATTCTGGGTGAAATTATCAAAAGACGTCATCAATTACCTAAAACATTCCCAAGTCATATTGTCTCGCATCACATATCCAACCACTCCGTCTTTAACTGTGTATGCGGCAGAGTAAGTGATGCCTGTGTTTGTTGTGGTGCTCTACAGACTGAAGCTTCTAAAACACCTGTGAAGAAATCACTCATACTGTTTGCCGCTGGTGATGTTGAACCGGCTACTTTCTGTGTAAACATTACATACCTACCTAAAAAGCAGCAGACAAAAATGACAGGATTTCTCACTCCTACTGTAAATTCAGAGCCTGCAGATACCAAGAAGACTTTTGATCTGCTAAAGTGGCCCTTCAGTTTAAATTCGTCACGAGTTCTGATTTTGTATGATAACGAGCTGGTGCCGTTGGACTCACCCCCAGTCGTATGTGCGGATAACTCAAAAGAAGATCCAGACCTAATGTTGTGTGCCCAATTATCTGCGTTGCACTATGGATTGGAAACAGCCGGTGATCATCAAACTGTTTTCTCCGGGTGCTTGGAAGTATCAATTCTGGTACAGAAGCAATGGCCCATTATCCGTTACCCTAAAGTTTGTTTCCGAGCCCATCGTGGTGCAGCTGGAGATTTAGATCAAGCAGCCGTTGTAGCTGTTAAGTCAAAGTTGGAGGCTCTAAAAACGAATCCTAGCAAAAGAACTGTTAACGTGACAACGGACAATATCATAGCATCTCAAAATACAAAGTCGTCGATGGAAAATCATCATAAGGCAAATCTCCCCAGCACCGAGGAGGCAAAAGACAAGGTGCCTGTTTTAGGTGATGTTGCACATCAAGGTGTTCCTTAGATTGTTTTTTGACAATTTTATCAGTTTGTACAGTTAACATCTTTTATTCCTGCAAGTTCTCCTTAGATGATCCCTGTAAGTTTTTTCCGTTCCGTTTTGTAATCTTCAACGCATTTATCCCTGCTGGTGCAGCTCATTTGTTCATTTCTCTTTATTGCAATATCTCACTGTGCGAGTGAACCTCAGAGATATGAGCTGTACTGTCATAAACGTGCTCTGTGATTCTACTGACATCGACTCTCGAGTTAATAAACTTGATTTTGTTTTCTCGATTTGGTGATTATAAATATTTGATGTTTAATTGCCAACAGTCCGTGAATTTCGTTCGTGAGCAATTTGTCGCCTAAAAAGATAATTTACGCTTATCACTTAACTTCGTAAGTTCGATTATTTATCTCATGGAGCAGGAGTCTTTAAATCCATGTAGTCAGCCAATTCAGTACCGCCGCTGTCTACGAATCATTGCACAAATCTGGTGGGTTAGCCCGACGAGCAATGCTGCGGTGTGGTACAGAGTTTTAGGTAACCGCAGTCGTCCAATGGAGCAATTGGTTGATCTTCATGGATTACGTTGGTTGGGGCATACGTTACGCATATCATCAAATGCTTTGCCACGGCGAGCGATGTTCGCATAGGCAGTTAGTAGATGGAATGAAATCAAGGGTGGTCAAGTTAAGACCTGGCAAGAGGGTATGAAAACTCTAACCAGCAGACTGGATCACATAGGTCCCGTTA